TTTGTGGACTTCAACCCCCAAAATTCCCCGGCCTGGGAACCCCTGGGAGTTGAAGTCCACACATCTTAAAGTTGCTGAGGCTGAGAAACACTGGTTTAGACCATCTGCAAAGATGCATTTCTTTCATCAGGGTTGTTGAGTTTAGTATTTGTTTTAAGGCTAATTTTAACGTGCATTTCTAATCTTTCATATTCATTTGTTATTTTTATGTTTTGTTAGCCACATGCAAATAATAAATAAACCAACATTTCATTACTGGCTTTCAGTGCCAACCACTAAAATGCCTGAGAGTGAAAAATGCCTCAACTTCATTGCTGAAAGAGGAGAACTGGGTCTTAACAAAGTCTTCACGAATCCTCATTCACATGACACTAGAGATGGGCTGTGTTTTCACAATATGCTTACAGTTTACTCAGTTGTGCAGATTTTCAGGATTTCTAAACGATGAACTAACCATATGGTCTGGATTGCTGAGCAAACTAGGTTCAAAGGAGGTTGCCTTATTTGTGGTTCAGTGCCCTTGTGGGGAACCATCACTTCAAAGAGACAAAAGCTTTAGTGGTTTTATTTTTCTAGAAACAAGAAAGTAATTTTATGCCTCGAAATGTGCAGATGAACTTCCTTCCTCAAGTACTTTATTGATGGGAGTTTCAACTGCTGCAGTTTGCAGTTGTTGGAAATGTTTTAATTAACGTGTTGACTTGCCTTAAGGGCTGAAAGAAGATCATGGTGACAAAGGGAATGTATAAACTGGATAATGGGCAGTGTTTCCCAACCAACTGCTTTCCAGCTAAAAGCCTTTTGCAGCCCAGATATGAAGAAGGTAATGTATCCTGATGTGCAAGGTTGGAGGACTAGAAAAGGTTTAAGGATCTTTGCAGCTGAAAAAACAGAGAATCCTCCAGACGCATCCCTGGAGAGGCCCTGCTTATGTTTCTGAACTAGCGCCCCCAATTTGTGGCCCTCCATCCCCCTGAAATGTTGAGGCAATGAAAAGGCCACCCAGTTGTGCAGCAGACTGCAGCCATATTGGGTGAACCTCTCCTCTGCTTCCTTGGCAGACCGTGCTGGAGGGTTCAGGGAGAGATGCTGGACCAGTTGCTGGCCCATTTGGGTGGCTGTCCCCAAAGGAGTGCAGTCAAGCGTACGTGTCAGTCGGAAAGGGGGTACTCTCCACGCCCCTCTGCAAGGCCCACAGATTGTGCCCCTAATTTGCAGGATAAATGGGGCCCCTTTGGGGGAGGCCCTTTTTATACACCCCCCAGATGTGTAGGGGTGAGCCACCAGGGGTACAGTTTGGGCCATCATTCCAAAGCCTTTTTTTCAAGAGTTGGTCCAGGCCATTGTCTCCTCTTTAGCAGCCTGCTGGGCGGAGAGGGGAAGCCAAGGCCTCAGCTGCTCCATGCCCAGCAGGTACTCTGTTCCGGATTGCCCCCATCCTTGGCCAAAAAAAAAAAAAGTCCAAATGCCCATGATTTGATAGCTGATCTGTGATCCCTTTGGGTCTGCCAGAGTTGGGAAGGCAACATCGGTTATTGCAAGAGCAGATGCCTGGTGCCTGAGATAGAATTCAGAGAGATTTCTGCAGCAGGGTGAAGGATTAATCTCCCATTCCCGCCATTTATCATGGCTGAGAGCTCTGCAGCACTCCTTGAGTCAGTCCAAATCACAGCAGCCTTCTGAATCTGGATGCCAACCCCCAGAATTTACAGCCAACCTTAGTTGCATTCTCCTGACGGGGCGCCCCTGGTTTTTGTTTCGGCACACCTGATTTCAGGAACCGGCCACTGGCAGGTGGCTCATCACAATATGGAGAAGACCAAGATCGAATGGCTCTTTGGCACAAGAGCTGCCCGGCTGAACTGGAAGAGGTGTTTGAGGGAAGCCTACAGCCCAAGGGCAGAAAAAGTCCTCAGTGGGGCTCAGCTGGTGAGTGCGTCTTCATAGCATTGCTAGGCTACTTCGCAGCCAAACTTCCTTCAAAGATCAGCAGCACAGACTAAATCTTGCAGAGATGTGTATTGTATGATACGAACCTTAAATGTTGGCACCACATGCTTAACTAGATGAAGTGACTGTGTTCACAGATGCTAAGCTTGCTGAGTTTTCACTTTTGTGGGCTAGCGGGTTGTGCAGATTCAACTCATTTGTACACAGTGATGCGGGTATAGGTAGTCCTCAATTTACGACCACAATTAGGACCAGAACTTCTGTCACTAAGCGATGTGGTCGTTAAGTGAGTCGCACCCAATTTTATGACCTCTTTTGCTGTGGTCATTAAGCAAATCTGGCTTCCCCCATTGACTTTGCTTGTTGGAAGTCCCCTGGGAAGGTTGCAAATGGCAATCACATAACCCTGGGATGCTGCAACCATTGTAAATACACGCCAGTTGCCAAGCGCCTGAATTTTGATCACATGACTGAGGGGAAGCTGCGATAGTTGTAAATGTGAGGACCAGTCATAAGTCGCTTTTTTCAGCGCTGTCATAACTTCAAATGGTCATTAAATGAATAGTCATAAGTCAAGGACAATCTGTATATCCTTAATAGATCCTGGGCATTGACAACCAGGTGTAAGAGTTGGTTCCCAGATTGATGAAGATTCAAGAGACAGTTATGTAAACAACCAGCAGCAAATTTCCCCATTGTAGAGAGATTGATAGGAAGGCTGTGAGGAAGAGAATCAGGAAGCCTCTGCCTTAACATCCACCGTGCTGCATTGGTTCTAAATTGAAAACAGCTCACTTGATGGAATTCTTGTATCCCCATGTCTTTCATCTCATCCCTTTGTCATCTCCTGATTAGATTACTGTAATTTGCTCTATGTGGGGCTGCCCTTAAAGGCCATCAGCCCGCATGGCCAGAGAGTGCCTACTAAGGGTTCTCACTTAACAGGAGGTGCAGTGGAAAGGGCCCAATGTCAGCCATTCTCTGTGGTGGTTCCCCTCCTGTGGAACAGCCTCTCTCTTGGGGTGAGGATGGCCCCCACTCACATAGATTTTCGGAGGCTGGTAAGATGTTGGGTTTTCTGGAAGGTCTTTGTGGGGTGAGTCGCAGGAACCTACTTGTGGACATTGTAAGGGGAGAACCGTGTTAGACTATGGTGGCCAAAAATCATTATTAATATGTTTACTACTGACGTTTTAACATACATTTTCTTATTGCTATTTTAACATCTGTAAACTGCCTAGTCCATGAGGATTGAAGTGGTAGATATATTGCACTAGTGAATCTCAACAAATCTGGCTAAAGAGAACTCTGGGAGAAACACTTGAAAAAGAATCATGTTCATTTTAGGCAGCTATCAACTAGTCTGATAACATAAGTGCTAAGCATATTACACTTTACTGTATTGAGCAGAACCTGTAGTATCAAAATAGAGTAATGGGCAACTCTTTCCCAGATGTGGTCTACCCTGAGGTTCAGAGAGGAATCCCAGGGCCTCTTGTTTACACCTTCTCATTAGATGAATTTCTGACAGTCTATTTCCCAGCCTCTAGCCAGGGCAACAGAATGTTCTATACCAGTTGTGGGTTCTCCATCTCTGGAGGTTTTGAAGAAGAGGCCAGACAGCCCTCTCCATGGATGGTCCCATTGGTTCTCCTGCCCATTGCAGAGGGTTGGACTAGATGATCCTTGTGGTCCCTTTCAGCTCCACAAATCTAGGATTCTAAGATCTTCAGATCTAACGGAGGACAGGGGTCAAGGCACATCACTGGGGGTGTGGGGAAGAGTCCTTGAGAGCTGCGCAGGAATCAGGTAACAAGATGTTAGCTTATGGTGGGAGGAAGCCCACTTCCACAAAAGGTCAGTATCCTAGACTCCACTGCCTAACAGTCAGCTGGAGTTGAGGGCACTCTGGCTGGCACTGAAGGTCTCAGATTTGGGGTCCTTCTGAGTTCTGTTCCTTGAGTGCCTTTTCATTCGAACGGATGAGGTCTTCTGCTCGAGTCTGCTTCATGCAGCCTGTGTTCTGCTTGTTCCCTTTGTTCTGCCCATCAGTCAGCCCACAAAGGGCCTATTTAAATAATAGCACACACACACACACACACGCACACCCCTTTACAGAGTATACTTCCAGCCGAAACCCAGAGGAAATTGGTTTTGCTGCATTGAGGCTTTTCTGTTTTGGGTTAACCGAGCGCACCCAGCTGGCTCATTTTCTCTGGCTTGTGATTTCCAGATTAAGCTCCACCATGTGAAAAAACCTTCTGACTTGTGCTCAGTGAATATCAGCCACCAGAATTTTGCCTTGGTGAGTACGGATTTTGTCCTGTAACATCACTCTGCTTCACCTGGGGAAGGGAGGCTGCTGAGCCCCTGTAGATTGTATTTCTGACTGTTTGGTTCAGTATCCTTCTCTCTGGGATGCCTGGGGCTTGTTATTTTTATTGTTGGGGGTTTTGAAGTATAAGCTGCCCAGAGTCATTTGGAGTGGGGCGCCCTGGGGATTAATTAATTAATTAAATCAATAAAATGCATGGCTCTTGCTGATTCTTCTGGGGCTGTTTAAACTGCTTGCCCATCTTGGCAGTTTTTCCTCTCTGCCCCAGCCCGGCCAAAGGGCGCCAGTTGTTTTTCCCTTCTTCCCAGCAGGCTGCTCCCGTGCTGTTTTTCTAGGAGCTACCTTGTGGATGAAAATGGGGAGTTGGTAGCAACTGTCAGCCTTTCAGGGTAGTCCCTACAGGAAACCAAAGCCATGAGTACTAACACTACCTTTATGGTAAAGTTACAGGAACAGAATCCTGCAAGCCTGAAAATGCTTCTCCCCTCTTCTTTTACTCTTCAGAGAACTAGGGAGGGTCCCTTCTGAGACGCTTTCTCCAGCCCCACTCCTACTTTGGACTCAGATTTCTCTCATTAGACTGTTGTCCGGCCTGCGGTTCTTCCCCCGGCCTCTCAAGGCTATTCTCACAGCCCGTTGCTGCAACTTATTTTATCCCCTTTCCGTGTGTGCACACGTGGGATAGCAGTGAAAAGTTTTTATTGCTTTCTCCCCATCTCTCTCCTTCCTCCAGCATTTCTGAGGTGTCTGCAGCATTGCTAAGAACAGATCTCCCTCTTTCTTCCCCTCCAGCATTGCAGCACTTTGCAGAGGTAGTTAAAACTGTTAGTAAAAGAACCAGGCGAGGGAGCCGAGAGGAGTTGTGTCTCTTCTTCCCAGCAGGATGTTTCCAGTCTTGTTGATCCTCTCATCGCAAACCTGCAGGGGCTTCTAAACAGAAGCCGAGAGAATGGCACCTTCCTGGCAGGGTGGTTTCTCCTTGTAACAACCACCCTGTTTTATTTTTATTTTTTTAATAATAAACAGCAAGACAAGGGGATGGTAGGAAGAGACAGATGCAATTTGTTTTTGTTTTTTTTTCTTTTTGCATGGAGTTCAGGGGAGATTTGATGCTCCAGGAGCTGTTGTAGCTAGAGGGGAGTGGACTAAATGATGTTGTTTTTTGCCCCCTCTTGTTGGTCAGCTGCATCCCAGAGCCTTAGAAGTGAAGATCATCTCACTATGGCTTGTGAGAGACTGGGGATGGGAAGTGGTGCCCTGAAGGTGCTCAAAGTTTCTGTCCACAGCTGCTGGCCTAGTTGGGTGCCTGGTAGCTCCACCAGCTGAGTATAAACTCTGAGACATTACAATATGTCGGCATTATGCAGCTGATCAAATTTTTCAGAGATAAATTACTGGTTTTTTAGGGAAGGCTGTTTGTTTGTTTGTTTGTTTATTTAGCCTTCAGATTAGTCTAGACCAGCGTTTCTCAACCTTGGCAACTTTAAGATATGTGGACTTCAAATCGCAGAATTCTCCAGCCAGCATGGCTGGCTAGGGAATCCTGGGAGTTGAAGTCCACACATTGTAAAGTTGCCAAGGGTGAGAAACGCTGGTCTAGACTCCTGCCATTTTCTTGGCAACATTTTCAGAAGCAGTTTGCTCTTGCCTCCTCCTTCCTGGGCTGAGAGGGACTGGCCCAAAGTCACCCAGCCAGCATTCATGGCTAAGACAGGACTAGAACTTGTGGTCTATCAGTTTCTAGTCTGGTGCCTTTAACTACTAGACCAAATTGGCTCTCAGTTTATTATTTACCCTCTCATTCATTAATAATAATATATTTTTTAAAAAGCAGCTAGTCTATTCCTAAACCAATTTTCCTAGTTTGCCACCATCCCCTTGCAGTTCCAAGGCCTTCGGAAGCCACATCTGGCCTTTGGAACATCACTTTGGGGTTAGTCAAGGCCAGAATTAGTTTGCAAAGGGGAAGGTTTTTCAAAACGACTTTCATTTTGGAAGCTATAGATTGAGTTGTTTTCTTTTCCTGTTTATACAGGCAAAGGAAGAGGACTTTGTGCTATTTGATTCTGTAGCTTATATCAATGCCACTGAAAATCTGTTGACTTTAGGTAAGGAACCAAATGGCAGGACGTCACTCTAATTTCCTGTGTTGCTTGATGGGTCATATCTGGCCTTCTGGAGATGGTCAACGGTTGGTCCATTCTGACCACTGCTGTCGTATTTTAATTTAAGTATTTATCGTAAATAAGTGTATTTATCACTTCATTGTTTAATTTGTGTTTATTATTATATTTATATTCTCTTTTCCTTTGGGAGCTTAAAGCAGCATACTTGGAGTTGGTAATGAGAGACAGTGTGTGGTCCTTTCGTCACTTTGGTGGCTTAGGGTGGACGTGAACTTGGACTTTCCCAGTCCAGTTCCTGCAACAAGCCTGAGAAGTGAGGCTGAGAGACAGCAACTATCTCAAAATCACCCATTCTGTTGTGGTTGAAGAAGGGATTTGAATCTGGGTCTCCCCAGTCATAGTTCAACATGGATGCTTATAACCCACACAGTTATAATCACCAATTAGTAGCATTCCTGTGATTTTCACCTCTACCTGGTAGGCTTTGTGATAGTTTTTTCTGTCTCTTACACTATCATTGTATAAATAGAGTCATGTGAAAAAGAAAGTCCACCCTCTTTGAGTTGTATGGTTTTACGTATCAGGACATAATAAAAATCATCTGGTCCTTAGCAGTTCTCAAAAGTAGGCCTACTTTTGAGAACTGCTAAGGACCAGATGATTTTTATTATGTCCTGATACGTAAAACCATACAACTCAAAGAGGGTGGACTTTCTTTCCTACTTTTGAGAACTGCTAAGGACCAGATGATTTTTATTATGTCCTGATACGTAAAACCATACAACTCAAAGAGGGTGGACTTTCTTTGTAGAACCACCTTTAGCAGCAATAACTTGAAGTCATCGTTTCCTGTATGACTTTATCAGTCTGTCACATTGTTGTGGAGGAATTTTGGCCCACTCTTCTTTACAACATTGCTTCAGTTCATTGAGGTTTGCGGGCATTTGTTTATGCACAGCTTTCTTGAGGTCTCGCCACAGCATTTCAATCAGGTTATGGTCTGGACTTTGACTGGGTCATTGCAACACCTTGATTCTTTTCTTTTTCAGCCATTCTGTTGTAGATTTTCTGGCGTGCTTGGGATCATTGTCCTGTTGCATGACCCAATGTCGGCCAAGCTTTACCTGGACAAGTGATCTGCTTGATAGCCTGGGCTCACTATGGGTGTGCAGTAGAAAGCCATGATGATGGCTTGTGTGTTGTTAGGACATAATTGCGCACCTGACATTATCCCCCCATATGGAAGCACATGCTAAGCCAAATTGGAAAAAGAGACAGCAGATGCCTTCACACCACATTCTATAAGCTTGATATGTTTTAACCTTGGTTAGTTTTATTCTGGCTTAGGGTTGTGAGTACTCAGCCCATTATGGTGTTGTGGTACCAATCCAGAAACTGGATTTAATTCAGTATTATTCATTTATGTTATTTATTTATTAAATTTATATGCCACCCATCTCCCCCAGAGGTGACTCTGGGTGGCTCACAATTAAAATCAAACTTCAAAAACAGTTAAAAATATAAATATCCACATTAATTTAGTTAAAAAATCAAACTATATAAAAAACTATGTACATAAAAAGACTAAAGCCGTGGAAACAGACTTACATCTGAACAGTGGGAATGGTTGTAACCTGCAGATGAAATCTTTCTTGGGCTGTGTCTTTGCTTCATACTTGCTGCCAGCTATTTAGTTCTTCCCTGTTTTCAATCTAGTCCAGTATTTCTCAACCTTGGCAGCTTTAAGATGCGTGGACTTTAACTCCCAGAATTCCCAATTCCCCAAGCTGGCTGGGGAATTCTGGGAGTTGAAGTCCACCCATCTTAAAGCTGCCAAGGTTGAGAAACACTTGTCTAGTCTAATGCTTGCTCAGTGATCAAATTGTCAATGTCTTGAGTTGGAGGATTGGTATAATGACATATTTGATGCCTCTTGGATGAATTGAGCTGAATCCTTAATGCAG